TTTCCCCTCCTTTTTCTTTCTTGACTTGAAAATAGGCTGATGCTTAAAATCTGAGGTATTTTCTGGAGATGTTTAAAATTCCTTCTAAACAAGAAGTTTCTGCAGTATAGACTGTTTTGCAGGCCTTTAAAAAGAATGCACAAATTCTTTCTTATTGTTTAGTATGGCTGTATTTGCTTTTAAGCAAAGTTTTCCTGCTTTTAGCCTTAACCTAACATCTCTGTGCATGCAATATTGCTTTGCAGTGCGTATGGGAGGAAGAAACCACTGCATTTCAGTTAAGCCATACTTGTTTACAGGGTGCTGTGTATTTTGGGACTGATACACTCATGAAATTGCTCAGTTATTGTCTTGTTTTCCTGCCAATGTTAAGCTGTCACCCGGCTACCTTGTGCAATATTTTTTTTTTTTTTTTTTGAAGGGGCTGAGGTGTGCATGTGCTAAGATTCAGGAGGCTGTTCCTTTGAGGGCAGGGAGTTCATTGTAAACAACTGAAATCCACTGCCTTTCTTCAGTATTTGTGGTGTGTTCAGTGGCAGTGCTTCACATGTTTGGGGTATCAGGACTTTAAAAGAAAAGCGAGTTCTGTAAACCAAGCTGTGCTTAAAAAACCCTTTTTTAAATGGATGGTCAAATATCTGTTTTTTTGGGGGGGGTCCATTGATTTATTTTTTTCATCAGATACATCGAAGTAAGAACAAATGGAAGTTCTACTTAAAAGATGGAGTAATGTCCATTGAGGGTAAAGACCATGTTTTTGCAAAAGCCCTTGGAGATGCAGAGTGGTGAAACCTCGCTGAAGTATGTACTTCAACTGTGGCATTAGTCCCTTATGAACTTCATGTTGAACAACTAGAATTTCTGTTGTTTTGCCATAAAAAAAACAACAAAGCTGTGATAAAAATATGCAATATTAGTGTTGTTAATACTTGCAAACTAAAACACTGTATTGTTAGCTATTCTGCTGTCCTTGCTGTTCGTCTGATTATTTCATCACTTTTCTACCCAAGAAACATCATTGGAATGAATAGCTTTAAAGACTGAAATGTTGAATTTGTTAGTAATTCAAGAAAGTCATGGAATACTAAGTGACTATATTTAAGTAAATTTCAGTTCTGTTGGTTTTCTTTTCACTTTTTAAAGAGCTAAAACATGACTTGAAATATACAACTACACAGTTGTTGGTGATACTATGTATTTCTTTTTTAAACTCATCAGCCTTTGAGAAGAAAAAAAAAAAAAACACAACAAAAAACACAAACAAACCAAACAGCAACATTTGTGCAAGTCTGAAACCTATGGCTGTTTCAGCTGTGTAGTTCTTTCTCCCTTTTCCTTCCTCCCTTGCTTTTTTTGTTGTTGCTTTGTGGAGTTTTGACTTCAGCTTAAAGGCAGGCACTTGAGATGTAAGACAGGAAGTGTGGGTGGAAGACCCTTGACCTCTCAATATATGAAAATTATTATTGTTTATTCTATACCCTCTATGTCTACTGAGATGCAATGAATAGTCAGATTTAACAGTAAAATGTGATTTATTTTCACTGTCAAGGTAAAGTCATTTAAGTTTGCTTCTGTACATATCCACTGCATTCTAGGACTACAGACCAGTAAACTGTGAATGATACAAATTGTGCATAATAATAAAATGTCATGTCATATATACATTTCTAGCAGAGAATTGCTTTTGTGTTCCCTAAATATAAACTTTGCTTAGAGAAACGTGTACAAGCCATGCATGTGACAGTAGCTCAGCCTGTCATGAGAACTGCATTCCCAGCAGTCCTTAATGTTAGCTTTTTGTTTGTTCCTCTAGAAATAGAGGTCAAAAAAGTTCTGTGCGCATAGGTTGGGGCCCCTAGCCCTTCGGATCTGCAGCTTTCCTCTGGCTAGCTCCTGTTCCTTGTAGAGCAATATTGGAAAATAAATGGTAAAGCCTCAGCCAGGCTGTCTTGATTAAGCCAGGCTGTCTTGATTATCCTGTTTCTTGCTAGAAGGGCAGTGCTACACGCAAGTGCATGGCACCCCTCCCTCCTGGCTGCTGCTTTTATGTCCGCTGAAAGACGGCATCATGAGACATTTTGGTTATCTACTCCCTAGGAGGACACGTAGGCCTTGAGAAGGAAAAGAAGAGGGAGAGTTGGAGAGAAGAGGAGGAGGAGGGGGGAAAGTTGGAGAGAAGAAGAATATAGAAGAAAAGGGGGGAAAAAAACAGCCGTTGTTCATAACGGTACAAACCATTGTTCTGATGGCATAGACAAGAGATGTTTCCCTCAGGATGTAGGTTTTTAACAACTAGTGACTTTCCTGCATGCTTTTTGACATATCTGCTGCTGTCCAGTATCAAAGATAGGACACTGAACTAGAAGGCCTGACCCGAGTGTGGCATTTCTTTTGTCTTATAGATACTGCTGATGGAATGTGAAGAAGTATGTATTTGGAGACAGTTAAAATATTAGTGTATAATTTCCTGCCCCCCCCTCCCCCCCCCCCCCCCCCCAATTCAGCTGACTTGTAGCTGCACTGGTGGTACACTTCAGACTCATAAATGCATAGGGAGTGCCACTCTTACCACATAGTAGGTGCTTTTAGATTTCAGCACTCTCACAGGCTCCAAGGTGTTCATGCTTTGTAAATGTGTACATTATGAAACATGAGACCATCTTCAACTTGGACAGCATAGTGAGGCTTCAGAAAAGACTGGAAGCAGAGGTAGTGTGGCACAGGAATCTGTGGGACAGGACTGGATATGCACCTTTCACTAACTTTGGATATGCAACTTGCACTCTGCTTCCGAGAATAGGACCTCTAAAAATTAGGTAGTGCTAGTGACTATAAAATGAAGTGGCTAAAGACTATCTAATTTTTTAGCTGGTTCTAAAGATGGGCAGCTTTTTCCTTGTTGCTGCATCTTTCTGCTTGTGGTGTTAAAGACTGCCTCTGCATGAAGGTGAGAAGTCAGAGCTCTGAGCATCCTTGTAACTGCCCATCTCTCCAGTCCCTGTCCCTTTTCAGACCTTGTTCCTCTGTAAATGGGTGCAGAGACGTGTGGAATAAAAGTATTAGAGTTTTTACACCACCCCCCACCCTGCCTCCCAACAGCTTTACCCCAATTTTTATGACAGCTTGCTGCAACCTCAGTGCAGTCCATGTATATTCATTAGATAGACTGCACATCTCAGACTGGAATTGTTTTTTAACACTGGTCTCTTACTTCCCAAACTTCAAAGTTTTACAGGTTGGGCACTGGTGATATTTTTCATCCTCTTTTGCTTTTTCACTAATCACACATGCTTTCAGCAATTAAAATTGCAAAGGACTGTGTGCCATCTTTCTTCCTGGAGCTTTGCTAACAGTATGTGTAGCTGGCAGTTACTCCTGGTCAAAGCTGACCTGCATCAGAAGGGATGCTGGAGATGGCTTAGTTATGTCATCAAGCACCCCCTGGGTTTTCATTTAGTTGCATTTTCTAACCCAGCACCTTCTCAATATGAAGGAACCTTAATGTGGGTTCTATCCAGTGCTTTCCTGAGCTATCAAATATAGAAGCTTTAGGGATCAGAGTAGGGTTTTGCTCTCACTATCTCAACCCTTCCCATATTTGAGAAAATGGCTACTGAATTCCTAACACTGCAGATCTGGCTCCCTCCAAGCTACACTGTAGATATTCCTTGGGAGTGCTTGCAGTGGTTTTCCCGGTCCAGAGCTATGGACTGTCTGTTTGGACTCCTGCAGTAGAACTGACTCATTTTCTTCTGTCCAAGCATATAAGAATTGCCCTACATCTACTTTCCAGTGTTCTTGAATGAACATTGGCGAAGAGTTAGTAAGACATTTACAACCAAATATATTCGAAGTCAGGAATTTTTACACCAGCAAAAAATGTTTCCTATTAAAATGTAAGCTCAGTTAGCTAATTACTGTAGCCTGTGACTTGAGCAGTAATCAGATCAGAGTGCTTTTGATCTGAATGGTGTATGTATTAATGCTTTTGATTGTTGCTACTCACAGATCTGATGGGAAGAGGTGTAATACCAGTCATGGCCGTCAAAGGTACTTCAGTAAATGGCTGTCTAAAACTTTAAGCCAGAAGGAAGGTAAGGTTACCAAAACCAATGATAGAATTAGAAGTGTAACTTGTATGACAAGCTTCAGCATGAATATAAATCTTCATTAAAACATGTTGCTTTTACTTATTTGCTCACTTCTGTGTGTAGAAAAATTTGAAGTATATAAATTACTTTTGTTCTCTGTGTTGTTTTTTCTTTTGGGGGGGTGTGTGTGTGTGTTTTTTTTTTTTTTTTTAACCAGCAATTCTTTTCTAAATGGTAGAGTTCACTCAACTTCCAGCAGGTACAAAAGAAAAATGCCCACAGCACTCCTACTTCTTTGTTGTTACCTAAGCAGCATTGTAGGGCAGGTACTATCAGCTGTCACTATTTCTAACTCATTTCTTGTGCATGTAGTTTCCTGATAATGTTATGTGGTAGGTGTACAGGAAGGATGTGCTTGCAAACTCTTGTCCCGTTGAAGCATAATGCAAGTAAATCAGTTATTGCCCACTCAACACATTGTTTTTCTGTGTCCTAAATCATGTGCAGGACTCTTCCATATGCCCTCTGAAGAAACGAGTCTCGAAAATCAGGTAGTTTTTTAGGCTAGGTAGTTTTTTTTTTTCCACCAGTGTCTTTAGTTTCTACTATAGTTAAATATCCTGTAGTAGTCTTGTTTGCTCATCTGCTAAATTCGGGAGCTGGTGTGTATAAAGAGGAGCATCATATAGAATTTGTACTGATTGCTAAACCATAGAGTTTTATCGGTCTCCTCTCCTTAATCCTGCTTCGTTCTCCACAAACTGTTCGTGAATACAGCTATGCTTACATACAGAGCTTTTATACTGATTGAAATAATGGCATTAAGCTGAAGGTAGGAGAGGGTCAGAGGTGTTATTTCTAATTAACACGATTATAAGCTAATGATAAACCAGTCAGTAGTACAAAGAATGACTTCAATGTGAAGCAAATTTAATTTGCAGTGCAGTGTTTCAGCAACGAGAGGCATGCTTTGGAACACAGAGTTACTCTATTACTGTCGCAGACTTGAAAGCAAATGACTCGGGTGAGAAGAAGAATGTAAGAGGTTTAAAGTGATTGCAATAATACTGTTTCCCTATGTATCAGTCTGCACTTTCAGTGGCCATCAAGAACCCTTAGGCTGTGACTGTTGTGGAGTGAGCAGAGATCTTACACAGCTGCACTGCTCTGCTGAGTGCAGGGGGGGTGCATATTATACCAGCCTGAGGACCTGTCTTCACATTCTGTAGATGATACTCAGTGTCTGATCTAAGATGCTAAAACTTTGACTATGAGCCCAAATGAAATGTATTTGCTTCACCTTCTGTGAACCATAAACTGCCACATGTAGGTCTGATGCTACCACATTGGTTTGATAAAATGTAAGCGCTCGCGTGTTCCTCCCATCAGAGGCAACGTAACCAACCTGTCAAGAATAAGCAACCTAAGACTGCTTGATCTGCAGTTGCAGCTTTTGAATAATTTTTTTTTTTTTCCCCACAGGACTGTGAACTTTTCAATAACTAAGCACCTCGATTTCGTAAGACCGCGCAGTGCAGCACGTAGCCTCCTTTGGATGTGCCTGGGGCAGACTCCCGCAGCGATCCTGCCTGGCATTCAGTGCAGTCTGCAGCTTGTCAACCAGCACAGATTGTTTGGCCCATACAATGCAGGTAAGAGCTTACACATCTGAATCTCCAACTTCAGTACAGTGTGGCGTTGGCTCACGGCAAGTGAACTGTGTAAGGGTGACAGCTTATTTGCTGCAGACAGAGTAAATATGCTGCAGTGACAAAGGAATGTTCAATTCTTACTCAAATTAGGAATGCAGCCACGAATCTGGATCTCCTTAGTGTCAGATAACACACGGTGAAAGGAAAGTTAGATTTTTATGGGAGAACACAGTCACTAAAAAGTAACTACTCTGCTTCATCAGCTGGGAATGGAGTCGGACTGTGAGTGCTGAGGAGCCCCCAGTGTATCCTGAATGCCAGTGGCACTGGTGATGCCAGAGAGTGGGCAGGTAAAAATAATTCAGGAGACTGTCCCAGGAGAGAAAACAAGGCAGCACTTATTTGCCTGCACTGGAAGCAGCTATCCTGCTGCTGGGAAGGAGCCTTTACATCTTACATGATTTGTGTGTGTGCACTTACAAAATACAGTCCTGTGTGCAGCAGGTGGGGTTTTACAGCTACTGCATCTCTTGTGATTTCCAGATCATACATGGCTGTGTATGTGTTAACTTTTAATTTTAAATTACCTGCTAGTTCAGACGGAGATCTAATCTGAACTGCAAAATTGCTAGTAACAAAGGTTCAGCAGGTCAACTTTTGTCCTCGGTGACATCTTGACAACCTACTGCTTGAACACTGTTCTTTAACCAGGTGTAGGTGGCTGTGTAATTGGAAGTTTCTGTTGATGAAATGAAGGGAGGCATCTAGTTCAGTGCCCCTTTCTTTAATCCAACAATGCCAGTGATGCTGATAAGAGTGGAAAAAGAAGGCATGAAAGGTACCAGACAGGCTTTAAATACCCCAGAGAAGCAGATCTGGAGAGAAAGGAGCCAGACTGCAATCATTGCCGTACCCCTTAACTTCAAGAGCAGCTTGACTACTCCTGGGCTCCTCTGGCTCCCCCCCAGAGAAGAGTTTTGCCTAATAGTCACCTTCCAAGCCAATCATTACAAAAGAAAAAAAGGGAAAATATCACTGCGAGTATCAGAACAGTTACGTTGCATGAGAATTATTGATTGGCATTTTTATTTATTGTGAAGTGTTCAAGATACTATAAAATAACCCCTAGTCACTAGAATAATTACAGCTGGCCTAGCAAAGTGCTGCATCTATTGGTGCTCTGGTTTAATTTTCGTTGTAAGACGTCTTGTCTCGTACTGCAGGATACGGCTTCTCTAACGCTGACAAGAGCAGCAGTGTTTGTGAGGCTTTGCTGGGGCCCGTGGCTGAGCTGCTGTTCTTGCAGTTGGAGGTATAAGCAGAGAAATAGTTCATCCTGTAAAGCTCTGCTCGGCTCTTACAGCAACCAAGCTTGCTCATCAGCAGAAAGAAATCTCTTCGAAATGCTTTGGTGAAAATTGCATAGAGAAATGGGTTTGCACAGGAGTTGACGGGGTAAAATAAAACCAGCAAGATCTTGGAATTTGTCACTGTGATGAGAGGTACTTTAAAGGCAGCAGATATGGCAAAAAAGGAGATGGGGGCCATGCAGGTAAAATCTGTGAAGATCAGTATCGCCATTCTCTTGGCCACCTTGGTATCTTTATTGGCAGCTACCAGCTCTGGATTCTGAACAGCTATGTAAATCTTAATGTAGCAAGCACAAATGACAATGAAGGCGACGACATTTAGCACTAAGATCAGCAGTATGTAGGCTTGGGAAAGACCTGTTTCGATATCCATGGGTAAACAAATGCTGACCTTCATGTAACTGCTGACCCCTAAGAGAGGCAGCACTGCTATTAAAACGGAGAATATCCAGCCACCGAGCATGATCGGCACGGCATGCCTCAGTCGTAGCTTTCGATCCAGCTGCATGGCGTAGGTGATGGTATGCCACCTTTCTACAGTGATTACCATTAGCGTGTACACGGAGAGCTCGCTTGCAAACACGGTGAAAAAGCCGGCAGTGCTGCAGCCGCTGCCTGTTTGCCAGTCTATTGCGTGGTTGTAGTACTGACCGCTTGTCTGGGCGTCAACAGAAGCAATGAGCAGCAGATAAAGTCCCATGCAAAAATCAGCAAAGGAGAGGTTACACATGAGGAAGCGAGGGACAGTGAGCTTGTAATGGCTGGTTATGAGAACGAGGAGTACAGTGAAGTTGCCAGCAATGGCAAGGATGTTTATAAACCAGATCAGGACTCTGAGAAAGCTGTATCCCAGGATGTCTTCGCAGGGATTAAATGCATCTGGTTCTGGAGTGCATGTGAGTATTTTAGGCTGACAAAAGTCATATTCAAAGTCAAAGCCGGTCATTTCGCTGTCATCAAAAATGGCAGAGTAGCTGTAAGGAGAGGTTTCTTCATCTGTTGCAAATGGGTACATATTCTTTTCTGCTGACCACAGTGATGTGTTGTAAGAGTCATCTCTGTAACTATTAAAAAAACAACCCCCCCACAATAGAATTGAGCTATTTGTTACATGCTGCTTTTACTCTTTTGTAGAATACAACAGATAACACTTGTTTTTAAAACAGTTACTTCCTACGTGTGTTTCTACAGGGTGTTTACATATAATGAAGCCTTGTAAGGATGCCTTTTTTGTTTGGGTAGCAGCCTTGGAGAGCAGCAGAGGTCATAGTCACATCCATGGGAATGCTTTCTTACACAATTTATTTAAAAGCACTCTATCACCTTGCTTTGTTAGTGAGCCATCGTTCTCATGCTGCCAGTAGACTGCAGTTCAGACTACAGTAACACTTGAATCGATGGATTATAGGTTTAGTGCATATAGGCTTATCAGACAGATAGAAAAGCCAAACTAAAATAACCTAAGAATTTTAACTGTGCACCCTTAGCCTCCCTCAGGAAACGCACTTAGAGAACAACATCCTGAGACTGTGTAGGACTTGGGAAGTGCTGTGGAATTGGATGTTTGCAGTATTATAAAGTGAGGAGAAGTGGTGCGTGGTTAACTAGATAATGTTCTTGGCTAGGAATATATTTAGTCTGGACCCAATATCTAATTACAAATGTCTTGGGTGTTTAAAATAGACCTTTCTCATCTCTAGGTCATCAGTAGTGTGGGGATAAGCCTATCAAAGAAGAAACATTTTAAAAGCAAACACTGTCTCTTTCTCATTCCCTGCCAGAATAGGTACCTGTTTCACAACTACCCAGTCATCCTGACCATGAGTGTTTGGTGGGCAAACACTCAATCCACAGTGTGAGACCTGGAAAGCATCTCTATGACTCTTCAGAAAACTGGTAGCATTGGGATAACTTATATACATGCTTAAACTTATACATCTACTGAAGCATGTACATTAAACTATTTTTCTAGAGCATGATCTTGACTGGCAAAAGGAGCTGAGCTGCTTTTCAGCTGTTCCTGTAGGGCAAATAACCTCCCAATCTTTCTATCCTAACTTCTCTCCTTACATGAAAAACTGCCCACTGTCTTGCTTTTACTTGCCTGGCTTTAAACTGGAAGAGCAGGGAATATGTTTGGTTTTATTTATTAATAAAGAAGGATTGTGTTTTTCTGAGAGGCCATGTAAACAGGCTGCCATGGGCAAGCTGCTTTTTTTTTCCTAATAAGAGCTCGGGACTTTCATACAGTTTCTGCTGTGGCTCCTAAACTTTGCAACTTGCAGCCCATGAATCATGACCTTACTTCCATTTGCTCAATATAATGTCTGCTTAGAAAATTGCTGGGATTGGGAGTTAACCAAAGCAAAAAGCTTCAGGAGCCAACAGACTGGGCAGACTATTTAATGGACAGCAGGAGTGTAACAGCTGCTGATCCGCAGCAGCGGGATTGCTCTGGCATAGACACCAGTGATTTGTGTGATTGTATTCCCCACTGGGGTGTCACTTCACTTGCCTTTATAATGTGACCTGATGCTCTGGGTTTATCTCCTTGCCTTACCTTGCTTCTCCCCAAAGCTGTCCCTGATAGAGGCAACATATTCTTGGTCTTGTTGGCTGCCTGGACTTTGCCTTTTTATAGTCCTGAAGTGCTTCAGTTTTGCAGTTAGGAGCAGAGTGGATAGGACTGACTAAGGGAGGCACTCAGAGAGCTGCTGGTAGCAAATGAGAAGTGCTGACAGGAGAATCAAGGCAGCTGTGGTTTTACGAAAGGCTGAATAAAACCAAATGGCAAGTGTAGGAGGCCTTGCCAACCAGCAGACAAGATAACGTCCAAGGAAGTCAGTATCCCAGTGAATCAATCACATCTCAGCTATATTTAGCTATTGGAATTTTGTGACCATAACCTTGTTTTTTTCTAGATGTTACAATGCTCTGAACTCAGGTCAGGGCTGATGAGAAGTCCCAAGGTTTCCCATTTAGCTGTAGAGGGATGAATAGTGTCAAATCCTTAAACATCTCCATTAAATACTGATTTAGAGCCTGTGTCATCCAGCACAGCCAGTGCAACAGGTTTGATGTTAAGAGTTTCTGATTGTCCCACTGAACACTGTCAAACAGAACTGTGATGATGTGGAAAGATACATTTAGAAGAGGTAAACTGATTGCATGAGGTCATCACACTTCTAACTCAGGAAGTCTATTCCTACCATGGAAAACTACTGACATATAGACTTCCAATTATCCTTTCTATAGACAAAAGATTATTAACAGTAGCAGCTCTTCTTTGAATCATACAACCAAACACAATTATCTCAGGGCATGAAAAGTCTCCATGTAGGCCATTAACTTTCTTAAATATTTATTCAGTGTTTTGAAAGTTTCAGGAATTCAGAAGAGAAGATGGAGTTAGTAAAGCACATGAAATTATGGGGTTTCTTTTTTCCTTTTGAACATAAAAATCACAAATCTTGGCTTAATGATAGTAAAATTACTACTGTACAACTTGTAAGGGTGACTGAATCAGCAGCAAAAGACATGCTGTTCTAGAAAAAATGCATAAACAGTAGGAGGGGGAGGTCCATATTTGCTACTTCCAGCATCTGTATGCAGAGAGGTACTTACAATATTCCATTAGTTGGTTTCCTCATGGTGCTTTCACACTCTTTGGAGAAGTTGTTAAAAATGGAAAGCAAGGAATTTTGTCTGAAAGAAGGATGAAAAGAAAACTGAGTTTCAGTCTGGATTTCAGCCAAATTCTCATCTTCTCTGCAAGTGATCTTTGCAGACATGTAAGGCAAGCCAGCGTTGGCCTCATGGCAGTGTGAATGTTCCTGTAGACCTTGATGCAGGGAGGAGAAGACTTCAAATGCTGTGACAGTAGGCAATACCTCATGGGAGGAATAAGATTGGTCCTTCAGCTCAGTTATTGTTTATGATGTATTTTTTTATAGTGAAAAAATTTGAGCTGGAATTAAAAGGTATGTTTTGTCATATGAAATAGTGTATTGAAGTGGGCCATGTTCTCCACCGGTATGAACGGTAGCAGTTCTGCTGGCTTTTAGAGGAATGCATGTTATCAAATGCTGGGAGCTGGCCTGATACTCTATTTTAAAAACTGGGATCTGGAGGTGTACTTTACATGCTGGAAGTAAAGCAATTTGAAAAGTACAACTTGAAAGAAGACATACTTGGCAAAATCTCTGGTTTTGAGGCTTTGAAAATATGGGCCAGGAACTCTACCAGTGTAAATGGAAATGGCTTTGTCTGACCTCAGCGCTGCGACAGTAGAAAGAGCCAGCAAAAACACTGAGCTCTTTCGTGTACTCTTAAGAGAATCAGACACCTGGAAGCTTACAGGAAGTTTTATATATAACAAGAGAAGTAAGATACCAATCTAAGTCCCTGCATGATGCTTATAAGTAATAGGATGGCAACAGAAGTTGTTTTTTCTTGTAACTTTCTGAAGATGTGGTATAACCGGCTTTTCCCTCCCTCCATTCAGGCCAGTGGAAAAGTCTAAGGAACTGAATGCTACCTTCCACCTCTGTTACACGGTTCAGGGAATGAGCACACCACAGTTGTAGCCCAGAAATCTCAAAAATATTTGGTTTGAGGACTTTAATTCCGTAATGTCTGTGATGCTGAATTAAGTGAACCTGCTTGTCCAGTCAGAGGTATGTGAGACCGTGTCACCATATCTCACTGATCAGAGAGTGCAGTCTATAGGTGCTAAGGAATGGGATATGGGGCAGGGGTAATAAAAACTGGGTGGGATGACTGTATGTAGAGTACAAGGCAACAGAAGTGGGTAGAAAGAGAGAAACATGCTGCAGCTGCGTGACCATGAGAATACATGACCACACAAAGACTCTTCCCTGTGTAACCTGGGAGGGTCCTGGGAGGTCTTGGTCTCCGTGGTCTTCTGCTGGCATCAACAGATGACAAGGAGAACAGCCAGAGATCTACCTCTCATTTCTTTGTAGTAGCTGGTCATATAGAAGATAACAGCCTGTTTCTTGTACAGGTTTTTGCAGCAGCCAGGGCTGTGCAGATAGGTAATGCATCAGCACTGCTCTGAACCCTACTGATACCCCAGTTAGGAGGGCAGTCTAGTTTCCTGATTTGCAGGGTTTTCTTTTCCAGTTTACTAAGGAAACGGTCACTAAATATAAGAAAGTGTTTACTAAAGCACACCTGTTTTTATGGAGCATGATCATGTTGCAAAGCAAAGCACTTGAAAATTAATATATTATCAGAATGAATAAAATCTTATTTTTTCTGTCCCAGAGTTGCTTCTGCATTTAATGCACTCAGAGACCTGATCTGGGACTGAATCAGGGTTCGATAGCAATGGAAAACCTTGACTGTAGAATCTTTTCTCTGTTCTTGCAGAAGCAGGAACTGCTTAGTAAAGTGAGGTAGGCGGAAAAAGCATAGCCTCACCCCTAATTTTACTCTAAAGAATTGGATTCTACTCCTGCCTTTGCAATGCAGTCCTGATGCGATGGCATGCAAGTCACACAGATCAGGCTTCTCACAAATGACTACTCAGTACATCTTTTCTCTAGCCTTCACTTGAGACAGATGAGAAGTGAGGCAGCATCCTCGTAGCTTCAGCTGAACTCATTTGGCATTCCTTTGGCTGCCTAAAGCCAACCAAGGGTTGATTTCTTTGAAACAAAAATGCTGAAGAATTAGCTCCAGTTGTCTCAGATTGACTGCCCCAAGCTAGCAGATGCAAAGCTCTCTCTGTGCCACTGTTTCCAACTGTGGGGAGAACAATACTGTCTGTTGTTATCTGAAATGACTCGAACTAAACCGAGTAACCTCTTTCTGTAGGCTTGTGTCAGGTCCTAATTTCAGTGGGTAACTGAAAGCTTGCCTTTTCTATTAGGTCATCACATCACCTGCATGAATTTTTTTTTTTTTTTTTAGAGAAACATCCTATTGATGGAGATCTATCTTCCATGTGCTGGTAGGCTTTTTAATTGAGATACCAAGAAAAATATAAGCTTTAAGCAAACGTAGAATAATGTTCCTGCTGGCAGATCCTGGGCACAGGATGGGATCCATTTCTGTTATAAAATCAATGAATATAATTTTCCTGGCTTTAACAGAGATCTGTTGTTTCATGTGAGGCCTTGCTACGTACCACAGCTTCCTTGTAACTGGAATAAGGATAATCAAACCTTGTGAGCTGAATAAAGCAGAATTGCCATTTTGGAACTTCTGAAGCATTACAATACAATAATGTGTTATTTGGACTTACTTTTCTGTCCTTAGATTTCGAAAAGCACAGCAGTGGCTGGGATATGTTAGAACAGCTTCCAGAAGACTGCTGAATTTATCCAGCGGCGGCAGTCTCTTTAACGAGTAAGATGACGTTGCATTTAAGACTTGAATGGCCTCGAGCCCGTAACTAGGCAGGGACTCCAGAGCCGTTGAAGAAATATCCCTATGAAATAAAGACAGCGTTCTCTTTTTTTCTTTTTTTTTTTTTTTTTTTCTTTCTTTTCATACATACAAAAATACCACCAAAGCACAATGGTCAGTAACAGTGACTCGTTTTTTCACAAAAGCCTAAATCTGCAGAGCTGCTTCAGCACCTGATACCGAGCTCAGAAACGTGGTCTGTGAAACTAGAAAGCACTGGGATAAGAGCATCCCTGCGGCCGAGGAGCCGCAGTGCGGCAAGGAGCTCACTTTGTCCTGGCAAAACTGAAACCCACTGTGCCCTGACCTCTCTGAAAGCCACCATGCACAGAGTGAGGGCTGGCTCTTCAGCCCACAGAAAGGGAGAGAAAGTGGGTGAATGTGACTTGCCAGCCGGCCAACAGGTAGGACACCCTCCCAGCTCTCTGCTTGACTCCGGAGGGCTGTTCAGGGTGTCTTAATTGAATCGTTATTAATTAAAACACATAAAAATCCATCATTCTTGCCAAGACAAATGTAAGCAGTTTGGCTTAGAGTAGCTTCAGTGGGGCTGTTTGTGTGAGGAAAAGTGATCAACATGACTAAGGATTTTCAGAGTCCATTAAATGGGGAAAAAAGGCTACAATTGTCAAAGTGATGTTAGCAATGCCATGTACTGTAAAGCACCAATAAAAGGAACAAAATGGCACGTGTGGCGCACGGTGCTATTTTCAGAGCCACCCATGGTGTTTTATTGCATGAAGTTACAGCCAGTGCAGCCCTCCAGTAAGTACTTGATTAATAAAGCATGAGGATGATAATGATGTGTTTTATTCGGCACAGGCTCATAGCTTGCAGTCAGCTAGTTCACTTTTATAACCAAATTCTAAAATAATATATTGTAAAAACATACTCACCCTACCAAAAGACAAGTTAGTTTGCAGTGTCAGAATATAGGGCACAGGAATAGGATCAGGAGGTTCTGACACAAATAAAGCAAAGGCCAAACTATCTAAGAGGTGGAGGTCAAAGCCGACACTAGAACTGGCTGATATGCCTTTGTCGTGGTGCAAATTGAGCCTTCTACCCTGTAACTTCATGGCATCTTGTTGACGTGTTTCCATTTTACAAGCAAAGGGTAAGAGATCAGGTCCCTGCCAGACTCAAAGCCTCTGTTTGCTGAGATGATGCAGCCCAGGGAATGGAGCAGTGGATACTTACAGGACATCTGGCCCTGTGGCCCCTCTCAGGGCATCATTGTGCATCCACCTGAGGTTCTTATTGTCCTTCAGGATTCTGTGGAATCAAATATTAACTCTCTTTACATCTGCATTTTAAAACAACCATTTTTTGGTGGCATCTTCCCATCTATTTCAATCTTTTCTCCCACCACAGCAGTTGTCATTGCAATATCTGGCCTGGGAGTGCTTGTATTTCTCATGCAACCTTTACCTCTGCTGATGCCATCACACCATCATTATCTACACTTAATTCTAATCATTTCCAATTTCTTCTGACTTAAACTGGGAACAACCAATCTGGTTCCTTTACTGCAGTAGCAGCGTACAAAAATGCAGCAAAAGTTTTGCCCAAACCAAGAGGCTGGTCTCAGAGTGTGTGAATGATTTAAAAACTACTGATGTTACCAGACATAATATGTAGGTTCCTCATACTGAGCTACAGTTTCAAGCTTTCCACTATTGCTGCTAAGTTTAAGAACTTTTCTCATAAAAACTGCAGTGTGCTAAGGTGAATTACTGCTTTTCAGGAAAAGCAGTAAGTGCTGCAGGATTAACAACTGAGTCGCAATAACACTGAAACATGCAGTTTTCTGCTGGGTACCAGGAAATGCAAGACACAGTCAGTTAAGCTGAAGGAAGAGCCTTTGACTGTATTTGAACTACTATTTACTGTTAAAAAAAAAATACTGAGGAGGGGAAACATACTCACAGTTGATTCAGCTTTGTCCCATTGAAGGCATGGCTGTGGATATCTTCAAATCCATTTTTATACAATTTGCTGGGGATTAAAAGAAAACATGTAAGGGACAGAGATTTGAAAAAGATGAGATTATGTTATGTACTACAGGTTTCAAAACTTAATGATTAGAGGGTCTGCTTATAAAAAACAAAGGTAACTATTACATGACTTATGTTAACCCTAAAATTAAGATAAAATTGCAGCTTAAATTCCCTAAGCACCTTCCTGTTCAGCTGTTGAAGAGAACTTCTGCTTATGTACAGATCCTCCCCCACTCTGAGGGGCTCACCTGTACCTACCCTGGGCTGAGATCCAGAAACAAGACAGTAGTCCAGGTAAGCTCCTGGCACACAGACAACAACCCGGAGGCAGAAGACCTGAATTTTGTGGTGTCGGCACGTGAAAATGGAAGACTGCAAGGGCTAGAGAAGTGTCAGATGGAAAGCAACTCTAAAGCCTGGAGAGTGCTGCTGGATTGCCGGTCCTCTGTGAACAGACAAACCTTCCAGCAGCCCAAGAGACAGCTTTGCAGAGAGGCAGGGGTGAGTTGTGCATCATCCAGCGGCCTGTGAGCTATCAGCTCCTCCAGAGCACTGCTGCCAGGCCTGGACTGTGCCGTGGAAACCTCGCTGTCCCCTGCGCTGCACAGGGACGCTTGGTGCCACCCTGGGTTCTTGGTTCCCCACCCTGGGGCCAGATGCCTAAAGGCTGGGCTCTGCTGCACCATCTCTTTTCCTTCATGAGGAGATCTAACCTCTGGGTCTGATTTCACTGAGAAAAATCCATTTGTGATACTAAGTTCATGTTTCCAGAATCATTTCAATATAGTAATTTGTATAGAGTATTTTTTCTTTGATATTAAGCCCTAATAGAAACTTAGTCACCATTTATAAATCAAACAAAATTTCAGCTGTTGCTTTTCCACTTGTTTTTGGGAGAGCAGAAACTGGGGCTATGGGACTTGCTCCCAAGAAAAGCTGAAGTGTGGGGAGCACCTGGCTCTGACAGGAGAGGGGGGTCTATCAGCACAATACTGTAAACAGGGATTTCCTTAAAAACCACAACGATATGTAGGATCGATTTCCCCATCCCCATGAAACACTAGCTGTTGGAAAGACTAAATTAGCTATTTGTAGTACAAAGTATTACTGCAGGCTGACTTTACACCTTCATAGATTACTCGTGTTTCACCAGACCATGCTGTAACAACAGGAATTACTTCAGCTAATTACAGTTAACTGCATGGGGTGGAGTTAACGTGTAGCTCTACAATTAGGAAGCTGCTGATAAGATAATTCGTTTCTTCTTGTAGTGAGCTCCCTATCACAAAATGATGGGAGAAAAATGATCATTGGCTGTTTACTGACTGAGTTAGACTCCCTTCCATTTAATACACTTTAGGGTTACAGTAAAAATTTTAAGCACCTTTCTCCATCTCTTGTATGTTCATTTTCTTGTACCATTAACAGAATCATAATTTTGCTGAAGTTATTTTGAGAACGTGTTGGTAGGAAAGAGGCTCGTAAGATGAAACGATGCCCTAATCTAGGCAATTGCTCCTCTTTAACACTGTGTAGGAATAGTCTTCAGTCACATTTAATGCTCAGTTCCTCTAATGGTTTCAGAAGGTATTGGCCAATACATAAAATCTGCATCGAAATTACTGTTGTGCCTGCACATCAGCCTGATGAAGGGCCCAATCCTGTCAACTGCAGTTCTTGCTCGGGTGCACAGCTCATTTGCAGGTGCAAATATTCATGAAGTTTTGTGCAGGGGTTTTGGTACACGTTTGTCTCGGGGCAAGGCTCCCCCTTTGGATGTGTACCGCTGTTTAGAAATTGGTCTGGTCTGCAAAGGCAGGCTTTGCTGGCCTCCACTGTGGTGTTTGTGGCTACAACACAAAGTAGGTGGCCTGCTGCTGCCCTCTGTTGCTCAGCTGGTCCTTCCTCTGGAGACCTGAATTTCAGCCACATCCTGCAGAAAGGTCCAGTCTGTGATTTTTCCTATTCCAGCACTTTGTGGAAGTTTCTGTGAGGACAAGGGTGCTGCAAAATCCATACATGGTCCTTGCTGTGCTGGCAGATGGCAACTCACCTTGACTTTCTGCTCTTTTTGCTCATCTTTTTGTGTTCCTCTGGTGGGGCATCTCATCTGGCATCAAACCCACCTGCCTCACAGGTGGATGCAGCAATAAGCACATAGTTTGCTAGAAGGAAAGTCTTGGGTGTGGGGATTTATGGGAATCAACATAAGCTGAGTCAAAATAAAAAGCAGGGTAAGAACAAGTGTTGGTACTTTGTACCAATTTCTTCTCTCTCTTCCTCCTCTGTAAAGGGACCCTGTACCACTGGAGTTCAGCAGTATCAGCCTGGTCAGTCCCTGAAAGCATTATTTCAAGAAACTGCACCCCTGAGGGAAGAAGAGAGACTTTGGCCTCCGGCACAGCTTTTGGAGTTTATGTCCTGTTGATGGTATTTTTAAAAACAACGTTGCATGGAAGACGAGGATTTGGATTCCTCCTCCTAATTTCTTTCCTAAGTGAAGTTAGCTTTTGGATAAAACCCTGCTCTTCAGCTTGAAGAACAGCCCTCTGTTTGGTAAGCATTTCAAATTTAACTCACAATACCGACATACATTATATGGGATTTAATTTCAAGTTTTTTATAAAGCCAACCTGCTTTCCCCAAGCAGAAGTGTTAACCTCACAGGATGAACTGGAGCTAGGATTATTTTACTCACAGTGTCAGTGATTCATTGTTCATCCCCTGGAAAGCATTTTGCGGTATAGTTGTCATACGCAAGTTATCACAGAGCTCCCTTTGGGAGGGAAAAAAAAAAAAAAGGTATTTTTGTCAGTGATCCAAGAACAAAATGGAAAAGACTCACAGCTGGGTTAGGCTGGGTTCCTACTTACAAAATAAAATGAGCTTCTAATGAGAAGATCTGTGTCAGGTCTGGAAACTGTCTTATTCCAGTGTTACAGATGCTCCTAGAGAAAAGCATAATTCCTATTTACAGAAGAAAAGATTACCAGAGTGGATTCAACGAGAAGCTGACCTGGTAGGTATGAGTTTAACAATGTATTAAAAGGTGAGTGACAAATACCATAATTTTTATTTAGGCTCCAATTGTGTCTGTAAGGCCTGTAAAAATTAAGTTTTGTAGCATCTTCAAGCAGTATTCTGGAGCAACAGTGTATGTTTTCTCTGCAGTACGCAAAAGGAAGAGATTTTAGTTACCCCTTTTGCATAGTACATTGTCAATCTGAAAGCTTTATTTTAGAAATAAGCACTCAGCAGAACTAATGTGCAGACTTTACTACTGTTTTGTCCATTACTGCTCTGCCGTGGGTTACTTTATTTTCTTGCCTATTGAAAGACCTCGCTATTGGTTAACTGCACATTAAAGCTATTGTAAATGATGTAGGTACTTCTAGTGAACCGTAATGCATGAAAAACTTATTTTTTCCTTATACTCCTTTCTATAATTTGTCTACTCCTTTAAAGGGAAAAAAAAAAAAAAAGGCAAGCAGAAAAGAAAGCTCTTTTCTTACAAGTATTTTAGCCTTGGAAGGTTTCTGAACGCTCCATCCTCAATGTGCAACAGATTTTTGGTGTTCAGGATTAATCTGTAATGAGGGAAAAATATTTCGGTATTATAATCATTATACATTTGGCAAGGTTCTGAATTTTGCTTGTGATTGGCTTTGTCAGAAAACAGTTAAGTGCGGAATATGGCAGAAGGCTCTCCTGCTGTGAACAAACTTTATACAAATACACCACAAGTGCATTTTGAAGCACTATTGGTAATAATAAAAATGGCCTGTCACTGTTTGGTAGCTGACAAAAGAGAACAGCTCCTGAATTCTCATGGTTCGCTGAGCTGCTCTGGTTCGGATATCTCGGTCACTGGTGGGAGTTAGCATTTTGCCATCTGGTTTGGATATCCTGGTCACTGGTGGGAGCTGGAATTTTGCCATCGCCTGCTGGTTCCCTGGGATGTGGGTTCTGGGCTTGAGGTGTGCCTGGCGCAGGCAGCTCCACGGCAAGAGCGTGCTGCCATCCCGTGTCTGTGTCCGTGCCTCCCAGCAGCTGGGCTTGGAGGTGGGCCAGGCAAGGAGCCCGAGCTCCAGGCACGTGTGTGTGTGTGTGTGTGTGTGTGCGTGCGCCTGGTCCTCCCACCGCCATCAGATCCCTTTGCACCCTCCCTTAGTTCCATTACTTTACCGATGCTCTGCCTAGCCAGGAAAGGTAGTTCCTCAGACAGTTTAACCTCCTAAGAGCACCACAGACTTCCTTAGAGCAGTGGCTCGTAGCACCTGATGCCTGCTTAGATCTGCAGAAACTGTGAGATGGAGATAGGTGTGTGAGAAATACGGTTTGCTAGCGGTCGATCAAAAAATGGGCAGACCCATTTTCAATCAAAGAGCACTTTCTGCAGCTATGCCACCTGATAAACATATGTTTGCACAGAAGCCCAACAGCTGTAGCCCAGCTCACTCCCTATGCATGCTTTACAAAATTCAAAGGTTTTAGCATATGAAATTGCAACAAGAACTGAAATTTAAGAATGCTATTGAACCCACCTACCCTGATCATCCATCAAAAGTGGCCTTGAGGGCAGCTTTCATCAAGCCCTTACAGTGTTGGGCATGGAGAGCATTAAAGGTTCAAACAGGTTTTCTTGCTCGCCTCCTGTAGCACTTTAATGGTCTTGCTTAGCTTTTTGTTTTAGAAGACAGGCAGATAACCAGTTATCCATAAAATGTAGGTGAATGCATAGGGTCAAATCTTTTATTCCTTCCCTAAACCCACCATTTATTCTAGTGGAAGTTGGACCCAATCAGAGGTGAACAAATCTGGATCTCCTGCTCATCTGAGTAACTGGCTTCAGTGGCGTTCACATATAAGAAAAAAAAAAAAAAATTGGATTTGTCCTCACTCAGTTGCACCATTTTTAAGCCCCTCGATGATCATGCTATGTGAAAAAGGCAGTAATGAGATACTGAATCAGATTTATAGTTTCCAATTTCACTAAATATTTCAGAGCGTTCTCCTAGTCATCGCTTTTAACTCTCTCTCTCAGATGCCTGTGTTATGCAGGTCAAGTTTAAAATCAGTACATGTTCTTTTTGAGTAATATGTTAGCGCTCAAAAGAAAAGCTATGCATACTAAGCAGCTGTATTTAAATACTGTAGGGCTTTGAAAACTGCATCTTCAAAAAGGAACATTTTTCTCATCTGTTGTCATCTCAAATTATTTCCTTGCTTAGAAAGATCAACAGTGCCAGCAGAAGTATTCACAGAGCTCTGCTCCTGCCACTGAGCTCACTGAAAGCAGTGGGACTTTCTATGCATGGATGTTTTTGCATGATTTAGATCTCCAAGGCTAGACCTTACAGAGTGCTTCACTATTTTATGTGGAACTTTGGAGAGAAATGTTTCTCATCATAGATCTAATCCAAAGCTAAATGAAGTAACAGAGAAAGATTTGGTCCAAGAATACTTCTCTGCAGACTGTTTACTCCTTGATGATCCTAAATCACGACATGGATGCCTTTTTTTAACTGATGCTTACATTTCAGACAAAGAGGGAAGGCTGTCAAACGCATTCGCTTCTATTCTCTCCAGAGAGTCACTCTGAGAGATTTCACTGTAATGAAAAAGGCAGACACAAAGCGATACATTAACGGAAAAGATACCAGAAATTAGCTTTCCACACTTTCTATATCCTTGTTTTATACCTAGCTGTTCAACCCCCCTGCCAATTCTTGTTTGGCAGCAGTGTCCATGCCTCACATTGGACATCTTGAGAGCCAGCAGGCTTTGGAGAGACCAGGCTTTTGCTGTCTTGGCAAAAGGGAACGCCAACCCTTTGGAATAATGATCTCTGTAACAGCCAGTCTCCATTTTCTCAGTAAATTGTGGGTAAGGCAGTGACTAAGGGCCAGAACTAAGGTAAACAGCGTGAGCCCAGACCTGTGAGCCTTTTGCTGCTATCACTGGTCCTGCTTAGTGAATTTATTTGCATGGACAAGGACATAGATAATGTTCACAGTGCTTCATACGCTATTATTAAGTCATGATGATGGTCATCTAATCCACAGATGTACAAATACACAAATGTGCATTTGGTGCACTTTATGAGTAATTTTTGGATTTAAATGCCATTTTTATTACATGCATGCAGACTGAAAGGAAGTGGCTCTTTTGCATCATTACACCGACCAACATGACTGTTTTTGTAGACACTGCTGGATTTTGATGTACAGATGCTCCTATTTTGTATGTGTACTTAAGAATAACCAATGCTGAACATACAGAAAAAGAAAATTCACTTATTTGATACTTGTTAAATGCCTGCTTGATTAAGATTTACAGGACTACATAAAATTGACTCATATATTGATGGATATATAGGGGAAATGTCTTCAAAACAGTGTTTTTCTCAACAGGATTAACTGGAAGGGCACGCAGACTAAACCTCAAAATATACACTGTCAAGAAAAAATATTTTCTAAACAACTGGAACATATCTACAAAATCAGAGTCAGTATTGTCACAGTCCTGAGAGCTTACTTATTTCAGTTATAATTACAATTTAACAATTCCTTTTGGTGTTGATACAAAACCCCTTAAGCCAGAATGAATTGGTTTTTTCCATTTGTAGTGGCAAAGGGGGATGCACATTAGAAATCATATATTAAGCATGTATGTATTTCTTACAGAAATATTCTTTATTTTTTCTATAATCCAAATTCAGTGAGATTGATAAGTAACTAGTGCAATACCAAAAATAACAATGAAAGATGAATATAGAACAAGTGCCCTGCTGGGTGCCTGATCCTCAGAGACTCATGGGGCTGGGAGGAATCAGTGCTTGCTTGCAGAACTTGAAGACTCCTTCGGGTCTGGGTCTGAAACCCGGTCCTTCCAAGGGATCCCTCCTGTCTGCCACTGACTGAATATTGACATATGTTGGAATGACTTATGGCAGTGAGAATAATTTATCATCTGATTTGCAGTTGGTGATGAGTTGCCAAATAGATGATTTAGAGATTTATAATTTAAAAATGTGCATTTTTCAAAGTCATAATAAATCTCAATAAAATTATGAAGTGTTCTATAGATCTACTTCAGACAAATACATTGATTTCTATGCTGTTAATTTGGAGAGATACATTAAAAGGACACAAAGAAATCAATTAAATTCTCTTTATGGAAGGGGAAATGTCAATGAACAAAGCATTCTCTGTGAAGAATAGGATATGCATACAGTTTGGCAAAGTTTAGCCTCAAGTCATACAGATAGGAGAAACTTTGTAGATTTTAGTTGGTCTCCCATAAGAAAATGGTAAGTTCTCATTAATCATGCAGATGCAAGTGAATGCAAGAATACAGTGCCATTGGATTGTACTATAATACTTTATTGCAGTGAAATACATGCAGCAGAGTTTAGCTTATTTTCTATTTACTAGAGCTACAGGAACACAGAAGTTTATAATTTGGCCAAAATTGTTTAACCAGTGAGCACTAAAAGCTGAACTAGTCCAGTTGAGTCTATTCAGGCATTTGCATTATCCTCATCATTCAAGTCTTTGCCTTCAAGAATGCACCACAAAAATATTTCCTACTTTTTTGTTTCCTTGAAAATAAATTATATAACTTCTAATACATGTTTTAATATCTGATGCACTATGTGCTTTTCATAGGTGAAGAGAAGCATAAAAAGTGCACCTTGAAAAGAAAGTGGCATTATTTGTGCAGCTGCTTAGGTTCTGGGGGAAGTTGTTCCCCTGTTCTGCATTGCACTGGTGTGTCATCAACTTTGTCCTTTAGAGACCATTCAATGAAGATAAAATAAAATAAAAGAAAATGGAGACCCAAGCCTGCCGTCTTTCAGCTGGAATAACAACAGAAATAAGGGCATGAGTGATCAGATGAGCTTTATGGTCTGAGACCTTGATATAAAGTAAGTACAAAGCCAAGGGAGGTGAAGCAACACAGACCTGGTGTGCAAAATTATAGCACTTGTAAACTGAAAGATCCAACAAAGGGTTCAGTCATACCGATCCCCTGCCAAGTTTATCTCTCAGTGCAAAATGCCAAAAAATATCTATTTGGGTATTATATAAATATGTAATCACAGAATGCTGTAGTTATCATTGCAGTGGTAATGTCTGATGATAGATTTCTCTGTCCTTTGCCAATCAAAAGCTCCCATCATCAGCTATCAAGCTGTACTCAGTTCTCTCCAACATGATTAATATTTCATTATGTGATCTGTTAACTGTTAAAAATCACACCTTTTCAAAATATATTTTATATACTGCTTGTAAGATAATAAATGCTATGTCTATCCCTCCTCAGTGCTTTTTTTTTTTTTTTCACCAATAGTATGTTTTAGCAACACATTTTCACCTTATTGTAAAAAGATGTTGCTTGGGATAGACGTTTATGATACAATTTCTAGGAAGAAATTAAGGAATAGCCTGTGGAAAATGTTGTCAACTTACATGATGAAGGCATCTCTGAGTCCTTCAAATGCATGTGATGGGATTACTTTTACAGGGAGATGAGTAAACGCTCTGAAAAAAAGAAGAGAGGGAGGAAAGGATTGTAATGCATGAAGTTTTCTTGTTTACAGATTGTACCATTACGGTAGGGAGGAAAACAATAAAGCATAATGCCACTTTATTTTGCTTGCAGTTCTCTGTACCTCTGGGGCCTGATCCATTTACTGTTGATCTCAGCTAAACAGAATTCAAAGGATATTGGGTCAGTTCCTCAACAGCATAAATTTGAGACTAATCACCATCAAATCAGTAATAATCATAACTCACTAAGTAAATTAATAGCCTGATGGAAGTGGGCTGCTACATTCACAGCTACATTCACAAAGGAAGCTATAGGCTATTTAAAATTAGTTCCTCAGAAACAGTGACTTTCATGTAAAGCTTTCTCCATAAAACTGTATCTGTGCATTTGCTGGACCATGTTCTCCTCCCAGCAGTATCCCTGTAATGTTGCAGCATGGCACCCTGAGTTCCCTAGCAATGCTCTGACTGTGGGCAAGTGTAGAAGAAATCCAAATTAGGCCTGATACAGTAGATTTTTTATTTTTTTAAATAAATTGCATCAGTGTGCTTAGCTGATTAAAAGCAAGAGTATATTTTCCTTTTTATTTTTTCAGTTATTCTAACAAATTAATAATGATGTGGGAGACTGATCTGCATTTTACCATTCTACTCTGCATCTGAATCACAGTACTTTTACCAGCCAAATTATCTAGCCATGACCACACTCTCCCCGATAACGGCCATAGGAAAATATTTAACATATTTCAAGACATTATCTCTGTGTAAACAGATAATTGCTCTATTTTGCTTTATAATTACAAATATCTAGTCAGAGATGTTTGTTTCCCAACCTTAAACCCCCCTTCAAGGTTTTTTGACTGAAATGTTTCCGTGCTATTCATATAACCTGGTTTTTTTTTTCTTTGTCGTCGTAATCCTTTATATGAAGACAACTGAAAATGTTTATCAACTTTTATATATCTACATATATATATGTATCTTTTATATATTTATATATATACACACACACACGCACGCACATCATGCCCACACAATATAATGGCAGGCTGTCACACATATGTATACCTTGGGGTTACCAGGCTCCTAGATGTACTAAGGAGCATGGTAGTTGATTCCTAGCTATGTTCCAAATAGTCTGCATGATTTGGGGCAAATAATTTAGTTTCCTTACACCTTGAGTCCCTCTCAGTGAACTGGAAGTAACAATGCCTCCCTACTTAACAGGGATGTTGTAAGGACATGTGTGTTTTTCAGGTGACTGTGATTGGGTCATACCTGTCTCTAGATGGATGCTGGCATGTTCTGTTCTGTGTGAGGTTTGGTTAAATCAGAAGTGAACTAAGTCGTGTGTCTTGAAAAAATGTATTTGCCCCTGAGGGGACAGACAGGTAGAGATAACCTGCAGTAGGGCTCGATACTCTGAGCCAAAGGGCAAAGAACTTCAGGAAGAAATGAAAAGTAGAATCTGAGAAATTCCTGCTCTATAACCCTGGCAGCAGGAACCTCTCATAAATGCACCATCAGCCGGGGCTGCTTGGAAAACAAAACACACCTTTTGTGAAACTGTCTGCAAAAAAATATTAACATTTATAAAAGAAATAGAAATGTGACTGACAGCGTGCAAAAAATAAAACCAGGTCTTGGCTTTTAATTACGTTAAAAGCTGCAGCCCCAAAGCCTCCTACCTCGCTGTGATGTGCCGGTGAGCAGTGTGGTGGTTGTAAATTCCCACAGTGTGTGGCTCGGCGTGACCCGCTCCCCTGGAGCGCCTGTCACCCTTCCCGGCCTGCAGAAAGCCGTTGGTGATGGTGCTCTGAGCTTCGCCACCTCAGCTATGTCATTAAATGTAAGTGGGATGACCCAGCACTTTTAACACGTACTGTAGTTAAACTGCATGACGGCACTTATTCCATTCTCTATTTCAACTTCACTGGGTTTTGTTTTATAATTCTCGTGAATTCACCTTGATAGCTGGAACTATGAACCCATCTGCATTGACATTACCTCGTCCCATTAAGCACCTCACAAAACAGCAAGAGCAAAGGAAAAAGGCAATTCATAATCAGTCTTCTCTTTTAATCTTTGAAGTACTGGTGTAGCACACGTAGACACTTCCACATTGATAAAGACATCTTAAATTCACCAAAAAGGTGAATGTTCCCATCCTTATTCTTGTCCACTTTGCCTTTGTGGTTTGTATCTCAAAACCTGCCTGTGTTAAAAGGAAACATGTTAATTTAGAAGTTTCTTTCCATACTTACGTTTTGAAGAAGATCCTTTAGCTTGCTAAGCACAATCCAGCTTGTGTATATGTATAATGATTTAGGTTAACAGAGTTTTGAACTGCTTGTTGCAGGCTTCATTCTTTTCAAAATGCCGAGTAAAGCAAGGCCTTATCTCATGTGCTGAAGTCTCTGCTACTGAACATGACTGATGTCTTTGATAGCACACAATGAAACTCAAGCAGGTGCTGGCAGGAATTAAATATTGATTTCTTTCTGATAGCACTCAGATGTGACCAGTTATTCATCTCTCAGAGCTGAGGAAGCTTTTGACAAAAAAAAAGAAAGAACTAACTGGGTTTTACAAAGCTACAAAGCTTTTATACATCTAACTTGTCCATGCTAATAGCTGGGCTTCTGTAGCTCATGAAAGGAGGGACACATCCATCTTTAATACAAGTTACCAACACCAGCTTGAAAACATGTTGTTAGTTAAAGGATGAACTTTTGCACTTTTAAGAAAAACTGTAATGTTTCTTTCATGTTTAATGCATCACAACTTGCATGCTTGTACTCGCTCCTGCCATCCAGCAGCTGACAATACTGCGGCTCCAGGTAACTGCGGGACTTTTCACCCTTGGAGAAGGGATGGACAGAAAGGAGTGGGGAACCAGCCACCCTTCTTGGCATTCTCCAGCCCTCAGTGCTTCTCTAAGTCAAGCTTGGTTTTCAAAGTACATCATTCTAGGCAGTAAGGTTGGAAATGGCCAGGCTAAGTACATGTAAGACTATCCAAGAACATCAGGATAAACAGAAACAGCACCTAGATTGACCAAATCCCATCCTTGCCTCGTAGCTAAAATACTGTCTTTCTCTCTTCAGCTAGCATTTGTTTCCTGTATTTTTGTTTTGAAATAATAATTTTAGAACGCGTTTTTCACAGGGACGGTTATCTTCCTGTTACTAGGAATAACAGGGCCAGCAGGGACCGTGAGAGAGAGCAAACTACCTTCTGCTTCCCTTGCTGTGAATGTATAGATGGAGCAGTAAGAGCTCTTCAGAAAATGTTCACGGGACAGTCTATCCCAAGGATACAGTGGCATAAAACCACTACTGTCCTTTTTTTTTGTTTTGTTTTGTTTCTTGGATATAGCAGAGGCAACTTGACAACAGTTTTTATCTGTGAAAAGATTAGCTTTGCTCCTGTGCTACCACATAGACTCAAGCTCCAAGAGAAGCTTCTGAGAGGTCTGGATGATCAGTGACCTCAGGACCACTTGCAGTCCTGTTGATGAGGAATCAAAGCCTAGGCCCGCTCACAATGCTGGAGGAAATCTCTGTATTACAGAATCTGCCTCTCGCAAAAAGTGATTAGTTGAACTGATAATAAATAAAAAAAAAAGAACATGGGCCATATAGCAATAGGTAGGAATGTGTTACTGCAGCTGGGTTGACTTATATTTTACTGTCTCTATTTTATAGGATTACTCCTATTTCTAATGCCCAAAAGGTGAATGTATAAGGTAGACTCTTGATGGAAGTGGCAAACATTTTATTTTGTGATGTCCTTGGACTTGACTCAGAAGGATTTGGAATACCGATTGAAGCTAAGACTGAAACCCCACCATTTTCCTAGGATTTTTATCAGCTTCTGGGGGCAATGGAAAGTGTTGGCATTGATTTTAACAGCCCTGTATATCGAGCATTATCTACCTGAAATGCAAACTATGATGCTGGATATATCACAGAAGCAGCTAAAGAGTACTCTCCACTAGGTGAGGATGGGTGATCCATTATCCTCTATAAAAGACTCTTTGGCCCTGAAAATGAATTCCTCTGCCAATTCAAAAGAGCCAACTATGCCCTTAGTGAAGACATGGTAGAACTGTCTACTTGATCAGGATTTTGCCACAAAGTTTTGGATTTGGTGGTGCCTCATCACCTGCCACTCACCCTCCTGCAGAAGCCCTGCACACAGGGGCACGCACTCAGGCACAGCAAAGTGAACCTCCGTAAGAAACGAGGTTTTTGAAGGGGTAGAAAGATATTAGGTATCCAGTGCCCATCGCTGTACAGCTGAAGGTGGATGCCTGTCCATTTAGACTTTGCTAAAAACCCCAAAAGTACATAAGAAACTTCAAAAGAAGGAAAATCATGTTTTGTTCCAAAATATAATGGTGTATTAAAGATTATTTTTCTGCTGAGACTAAGTCGACACAGCTGCTATAGTCAAAATGTCATACAAAGGTGTCTGGATAATGGGAGTTTCTATAGTGTTTGTGTAATGTCCAAATTAAAAACAGGTGCTCGAGTAAAATACAGGCAGTTCAGGACTGTATAAAACACATCATTCTGCAACCTGTCAGAAGTCTAATCATTTTGAAAACTTCCAGCAATAACGTGACATGGCAAGAATAACTCGGGTAAAGAAAAATGGCTGAAATTTCCCTACAGGATATATACTTGGGATATAACAGATTATCAGAAGTACAGTTGGAAGCACAGCTCATTACAGCATCAGGGCTTGAATTACTCAGGTATAGCTGGAGTTATGTATTGATGCTTATTTTCTTGACTGACCATACTAGTAAGAAGCGCTCCTCTGAGCTCTGGTTTCTGTGTTATAGTGGCACCAATGGAAGGACGTGGGTACCCCAGGAACTGTGTTGGAACAACCTGGAGCAGCATTCTTTCCTCAAATTATTAGCGCACTTGCAAGCACTATACTTCAGTTTGCCTGGGCCACACGGGTACAGATGTGACAACAAGGAGACAAAGGTAACTTTCTCTTGCTTTGTCTCATACACAGAGCTGTGCAGGGGGAGAAGAGAGCAAAAAAGATTGGTAAAGTATGGCAGGAGAGGGAGTTGGTACTAACAAAGCTGGAAAAGCCATATGAGTAAGAGAGAGGGGAAGACAATAGCAAAGTGGATAAGAAGACTAGTATGAAAATCAAAGGAAGAGGTGAAAGGAAAGAGGTGGATTAAGAACTAAAAATAAGCGCAAGAACACATGTACACCTGTAGGGTTAGAAACAACATTAATCGGTACAGCTTTGTAATTGTATGATGAATGCAAGGTTTCTGTTAAAAACCCCAAGAATACAAAGAAATGGAAGTTTAACAGCATAGTTCCAGGTTCAATAAACATCAGGCTGGATGTGGTCTGAAAGCAGATGGAGCTGGACATGCCTGCAAATGCAGACTGAAAGACAGGGATTGTTTTGACATCTAAGTGTAAATATTTCCTCTGTAGGAGTATTGAGCAGAATCTTGGTTGAACTTTTTTTGTCTGTAAAATTGGTTTCTACAGCCAGCCTAATAGCTGGACTCTGTGTACAATCATGAAGGCTAAATGTTATATTGAAGGTTGAAGGGAAAAATTCTTCTCTTATTTTTGCTCATCATCTAACCCCATTGATCTGAGTGAAGCATAACTGGCAGCAGCCACAAGCCCATTATTTGTCTTAACCTGATCACTGAGGTTGGGATGTGGTTTCTTCTTGGGATGATAGATGGAAAAAGGAAAAATAAAAGTAAACCAAAAAAGAAAGAAAAAAATCACAGAACTTTAGAGCTTTTGATAACCTCTCCGGGCTGTGATGTGCATCATCCTAATAAACATGTGAAATCCCTGCAAAAACTAACCTCCCCATATATTTCTGCTACTGCAGGGATCCTCGATGTGACCAATCCACTCCCTGCTCTGTGTGTGGTATGAACACCAAGGAAGAAACGTGCTTGTTTCAATAACTATGGAGAGTCTCTCCAGCATCCATGGGCTCTGCTTTCTCTGACGCTAAGGTAATACGGGGAAATGGGGAGGAAACAAATTCAGGACAGAAATTTTTCTGAAAACTGACTTTGGAGGAATGATTCACATGGATCTAGATGAATATATATTCTTATTTCTTGCTCCTATCAATTCTTGAACTGGGGAGAAAGAAAAGAGATCATGGATAGTATCATCCCTGGGGAATTTCAAGAGCATGTTAAATTTACAAACAAATCAGATGAAAATAAAAAACACAGGCTTTATTACTAAAAGGGGCATAATAAGAAAACCCCAGCTCAATTCACGCACAGATAACCAAGGGATCCTAGAAACGGCAACTGTGCTATCTGTTGGTCATTTAATCCCATATTTTGACACCATGATTGTTTAGATCAGTGCTGTAATTGAGCCTGTAAACAACACAGCAACACTTGAATACCCACGTATATCAAGTATTTGGTCTGGTCTATTAGATCATGAGCTTGGAGTATGGTGCAGGAATAGGGTAAGGGAATGCCTGTCATTCCTTGCTGTTATAATTTAATCCTAATCCCCAGGGAAGCATTAGGCAGAAAGATATGATGGACCACCCTACAGAGATTCAAACAGCTCTCAAAACTCACAGCAGCTTTTTTACTACCAGAGGGGGAAAAAAGATTAGCCACTAACTTGTCAATGTGTTGGGACCTCGAAAAGAGGCAATGAGCACTGCCAAGAGGATTTTGACGCTTTAATGTAGGAGGCATTAAACTGCACAAGTATTGGGAGAAGAGGTTGCAAGAAGTCTGATGGATTTGCAAAAGCAAAAAAAAAAAAAAAAACAAAACAAACAAACAAACCCCAGGACTGGCAGAAGGTTTAAGACCAAATATCAGCCTTTTAATCAGGTTTCTTTAAAGTTAACTATGCCTCTACAAGGCGGTTTGGGGAATAGGAAGGGCTGCTTTTGCCTCTTGCCACGGCAGGATGCAGAACGTTCACACAACTCCACCCTTTCTGTCACCGAGGCCGGTGGCACGCGGCGTGCGGTTTTCAGCGCGTGGCCCCTTTGCCCCTTGAGAAAAGCTCCTCAGAAAGGACGGGCGCTTATTCCGCAAGGAGGAAACTGCCGCCGGGTCCTTGCCCGGCTTCCAGCCCGCCCAAACCTCCTCACCTCCGCGACGCCCAAAACCTACCGCCGGCCCAGGACAGCGCTCGGCCGGCGCCCCTCAGCGCGCAAAGCCCCGCGCCCTCCATCCCCCCCCCCCCGCCCGGCCGCGCAGGGCGCCCCGCGGTACTTACGCGCGGGCGGGCGCGGGCAGCGCCCCCGGCGGCGGCGGCGGGCAGCGCAGGGCGGGCAGGCCGCAGGCGCAGCGGGGCGGGCAGCGGCCGGCGGCCGCGGCGGGCAGGAGCGGCGGCGGCGGCGGCAGCAGCAGCAGCAGCAGCAGCGCGGGAACCATGCTCGGCGCCGCCTCTGCCCCCCGCCCGCTGGCTCCCCGCCTCGCCTCTGCCCGCCAGCCCGCCGCCGGCGCCCCCGGCTCCTCCCGCCCCGGGGCGGGCCCGCCGCCCCTCCGCCCTCCGCCGAGGGGTTTCCGCGCCCCGGCCCCCTGCGCTCGCCCTCCCGGCGCCGGCGGGGGGGTGTGTGTGTGTGTGGCGGGGTGTTGGGCGTCGAGGCGGCAGGTGGCAAGCGGGAGGTTTCCCCTTGGTTGTCGTGAGGTCGGTAACCGGCTGGGTCGCCACCGGTACCCTCTCAGCGGGATCGGGAGCGCCGGTGGTGCTCCCCGCGCCTCAGGTGTTACCCGGCCGGTGGTGTCGGTGCGAAGCGCCCGCTCCGCTCTGCCCCGGAGTGCGATTGTGTGAAAGCTGAGGCGGTGGAGGTGTGGGGCCCGGCAACCCCCGTTTTTCTGGTTGTTAACCGCGCTGAGAGTTTGTGTCCGGGGGACAGTATTTCACCCTTCCCTCAGCAGGGTGAGTGCACATTGTGCAGATACTGAGCACAACATTGCACACATATTGACATTACACAGATACTGAGCAGCCTCGTTAGTGGATGGGAATGGTTGGGCTACAAATGTACCCATCAAACGCTCTTTTATGGTTCCACGTAGTTGCTGTATCACTGATGAAGGATTATAATTTGCCTGCTGAGTGATCAGAGAGAGGCATTTCAGAGTGTGTGACTTGTTACTATATGATCAATTATACCCTTTGCGTGGAAGAAGTAATCACATTCTCAGGACTACTTATCTTCACAAAGGTCCATTCATTTTATAAGGGATGGTTTTCAGTGTAACTGCCATTATTGCTGTTGTTACTACTATTTATTACTACAGCTATAACTTCTAGAAGCTGTAGTTGGAAATCGGGACCCTACTCATGGTGAGTGATGGTGCAAACCACCAAAAAAGGTAATTGCTCCCCAGAGTAGGATTTGCAAACTCAGTATAAGGGTATGGGTACATCATGCAAAGCTACCCCTGTCATCAAGTGTATCCAGGAGAAAGTCAAAGAGTAAAGGAGGGACTGACCCAGCACAACATGGGTTTTGCCTGAGCTGATTCTTCCACTTCTTGCTTTAAAATCATGGAATCAAATAATAAAGCCTTTTGCAGGTTCTGGTGTCTAGGATTAAAATGTGAGATGGGAACGAGGTGTGTGAGAGGTGCAGGGTCCAGGGGCATTCCTGTGTTCTTGGCGGGGCTGGAAGGAGGAGATAGTTAGCAAGTGCTAAGCAACTCCCCTGGACTGGTCTCAACAGCATGACCTGTGTCCATCCAGATCAGGAACTGGAACCAAATCTTGCACAGGAGGGTAGGGTGGCAAAACCCTGCTTTGTTGTCCCTCTTGAGAGCGCCCATACTCCTAATCTTCTTCCTTCATCTGCTTCACTTTAACTGACAGTGATGTTAGCTTTTACTCTGACCTTGCAATGGCTGTGAGGTGCATTCCATCACTTTATTCTGCTATGCTTGTCATACCCTTTTTCTCCAGCACTACAGCAAGATTATTCTGATAGATGGTCTATGTAATTCCATCTAGCATGTGCCTTTGTATTGATCTGGCCTTCCCTCCCCACCTCCCCATCACCTTTGAAATCAAGGAAAGCGATGGGGTTAGGAAAGCAAGCGACCAACTGAGCTGTGTTAGCTGACAGACGTAGGATGACATTGTGCCCTTGCGAGGATCTGTTCATGTGCGATGCAGTTTGCTTGAGGTCTGTCCGTATGGTACTGCTGACCCCTTCCTGACACTCCACTGACGGTGTCATGAGCAGAGCAGCAGGTTCCTGGAGTCCTGTAGCTTGGTTTCCTATGGAAGGAGCAGTCAGTGAGGAAAAACCTGGGTATATCCTTGTGTTATTTACATGTGCTTATATACACTGATTTGGGAAGGAGACAGCCAGAAGGCAAGCAAGAAAGTCCCTCCTGAGAGTTCTCCTGCCAAGCAACTGGTTCCTGAGGAGCAGTTTGGTTCCTGAGTTGGCTGCACGCACACATTACGTCAGGAAGCAAATTGCCTGCTGCCAGCTAGCTTGTCTGTTCACAAAGCTGCTGATGCTCCAAAAGGCAGGTAAAACAACACATCTTAAAAAAAAAAAAAAAAAAAAAAAAGGGAAAATTAATTTGACAAGTCATCTTGGAAGAGCATGGGGAGCAGCACCGCTGGGTGACACTGCTGTCGCTCTTTGCCTGGCAGGTGCCATGCGTTGCCCCCATTATCTGCAGCATTTGGTGGTTTGCAGGATTTCGCTGATGCTCAGTCACCTTTGAGGATATTGCTCACGCGGGTGTTAGAGCAGCGCGTGGTGTTTGGGAACATGGCTGCTCTTCCCTGCGCAGTGCCTGCCCGGAGCGCAGGAGCGCTGGCACTGCTCTGCTTGTGTCACGCCCGGGGGACGCGGCACTGCAAACGGCCCCTGTGGCTGTGAGCTTGCTGCACTCCAGTCAGGTTGTGACGGTGAATTGTGTGGACAGGCTGGACTAGCTTAGGGCGAGCGGTTTTGGGTAAAGGCGGTTTCTGGGCGATGGCTGTTGCGGGGCAGCACGCGTCCTGCCCTGCGACGCGTGCTGCGGTTGTACTGGAGCCGGCTGGCTCAAGCCAGTTTGGGTATGAGCTGCAGCCTCATCTTTGGCAGCAATGCCAACATAGCACAGGCTGTAGGGGCATTTTTCTTACCTTAGCTGCTTGGCTTTTGCCTTCAGTATTTTGACCTCCAAGTAAAGGGCCAGTGGCCGGGAGGTGTTTTGTGACTTATGGCTCACCGAGGGCTGGATTTGTGCAAGTCTGTCAGAGGACAGGAGAGCAATTAGCCATGTAATTATAAATCAGTTTGTTATTTATGTGTCTTTATGCTCATGTGTGTACAGAGTATATATCTTGCAATCAACTGCAAAAAACATTTAATAATCTGTAACAATCATACATCCTTAATTGCATTCAGCCCATTGATCTTCATTCAGCCCACTAATTCACCTAAGCTGGCATAGGGAATCTTGTACATGTTGTAGGAAGAAGCAAATTTCTCAACCCCCCCCCCTCCCCCCCGCCAAAATGCCTGTATCCCTGAAACTCCCTCCCCAGAAATCGTCATTGAGAGTTTTCAGTTGTATAGATAAAAATGTTTGATGCCCTATTATTTTTAACATACCTAAATTAGAATTGTAAGCAAAAAAGTTTATTTCTGATGGAAAGAAACAATCATTAGGCAGTCTTGCACATCTGGTCCTGAGTTAGTATCTATCCAAAATGAAGTAGTAATTATGCATAAGTATAGGCATATATGCATATGGTGTTTACCTAAATTCACAGATGCAGCAGTAACAGCAGTTCATGGAGGAGACTTATACAGCTCTGTAACTACACATGCAAATAGTTTTACACCCACAGTCATACAGAGCTATATAATCATAATGAATGGCATTACATATATTTTACAGTTCACAGAACCATCTTTATTCTGGCAGTACTTAAGCGGGAGCTTAACTTTGATGGGTTGAAGGTTCACTGAAGTTGCACGGAATTAAAGATATGCCTGATGTTATTCTTCTGCTCAAGCACTGGCATATGCAGGGATTGCTTTACACATGTTGGAGTGTTTTCCTGAATCCTTGCCTCAAGGCCACTGTGCAGAAATGTACGTGAGCCCTTCTGCACACAGAAATTGCAGGAGTGATAACAGCTGCCAGGGCTGCAGCTGGAGGTTGTAGGTTCTGCACAGGAGAAAAATGTAAACAGGAAAACCCAACAGTCCTTACTCCATTGTATTTCCCCTTGATCTGAGATGTGAGGTTGGTGGAGCAAGGACCTAGAGGTCTGGCTCGGAGGAGCTGGTACAAGGTTTCTCACTCTGGCATCTCACAGCAGGTCTGCAACCTGTCAGGCCACTCTGCGGGGGAGAAACCCAGAACTTACAGTCATTGTAGATCCAGTTTAGCCCAGTTATTCTAATTTACTATCTTTCCCTCTCTTTCTCCATTTGTTAACCTTAACATGCCTTTTTACAGTTCCTCAGAGAAGTAGTGCCAGTGGAATACTTGTGTAGAAAAAATTGCTTTTGAGATACAGAACACAGCTAATTACAGCGTTACAATTAGCTGAACGCCCTTAACAGAGTCCGAGGGGGGAAATCATAGAGCAGCATCTGCTATAACATATGCTTTTCTAGTTTCCAGAAGATAACAGTGGGCATGTATGCTGCCGTGGATTGTGCTTTCTGCCTGAAGAGCAGAGCAGCCCGCAGATGCTCCAGTATTTCTTCCACCCGAACTCCGTTAGAAATGTCTGATGCTGCATACATCTGCCATGATGGATTACGCTTTCTTGGCTTCAGACTCCTTCATGCAGACAGACTTATAATGATGTAATGGTAATTCATACCCCGTCGTTCCTGAGTGCATACTTCATCCCAAGGGTAGGTGTTGTACCAAGAACAGGTTAGAGGTAACAGGCAGTATGGCATCGCATGAGTTTGTGCTCAGATCCGAGGTGCTTCTCATTGTTCACTGAATTACCATATAAAACAGATGAACCGCTTCTTTCTGCGTGGATTTTTTTTTTTTTTTTTTTCTGCTGTGGTATTGGAAAACTGAAGTACTCTTCTGTGTGCTGTTTAGTGAACTAAACCCAAAATGGCTCATTATTTTATATCCTATAGATTAACTTTGCCTTGTCCAAAACATCCCAGAATAGTTGTTGTACCCCTGCTAATATACTGCTCAACGTGCTGAACTATGGTAATTACAGTTGAATTGAAGCTGACAATGATTGAGCCAGCTTAGTCAAATGCTGCTTCAAATTTAACACAAACCTTCTGCTCCTTTCTATTACTTTAGTTTTTATCACATTTTTAACATGTCACTGTCTTTTTCCATAACCAGGCCCAGAACTCTAAAAAGAAATGAGTTTGTAAAGACATTGTTAAAAAATATGCCACTATAGTCACAAAGCAGCGAGTAGTAAC